CATATTGAAACTAAAAAGTTTCTGCACAACAAAGGAAATAATCAACAGAATAAATAGACAACTTATACTACAACTATATATCTGACAAACGACTGATAGCCATAATCTACAAAGAACACAAAAAAAATCAGCAAGAAAAAAACTAATAACCCCACTAAAAAGTGATCAAAAGGCATGAACAGATTTTTTTCAAAAGAAGATAGACAAATGGCCAACAACCATATGAAAAAATGCTCGACATCACTAATCATCAGGGAAGTACAAATTAAAACCACCTTACCACTGCTGGGATGGTCAGTAATAGTAAGATAAAAACAATAGATGTTAATATGGATGTGCTGAGAAGGGAATGCTTATACATTGTTGGTGAAAATGTAAATTAATATAATACAACCTCGGTGGAAAACAAGAATGGAGATTCCTCAAAGAACTAAAACTATACCTACCATTCAATCTAGCAATCCTATTAAGTATCTAACCAAAGGAAAAGAAGTCATTATATCAAAAGACACCTGCACCCTAATGTTTATCACAGCACAATTCATAATTGCAAAGATATGGAACCATCTAAATGTCCATCAACTATTGAGTGGATAAAGAAAATGTGCTCTGTGTATGTATATGTATATACATATAAATATATGTATACGTATATCTATATGTATATACATATACATACACATATACATATACACACATGTACACACATACATACACACACACACAATGGAGTACTAGTCAGTCATAAAAGGAAATGAAATAATGTATTTTTCAGCAACTTAGTTGGAGCTGGAGACTATTATCTTAAGAAAAGTGTCTCAGGAATGGAAAACAAATACCATATGTTCTCACTTATAAGTAGGAGCTAAATGGTGGGTATATATGGTCATAAAGTGGTATAATGGACATAGGAAACTGAGAAGAGGAAAAGAGGGAGAGGGATGAGGGATAAAAATTACCTATTGGGTACAATGTATATTACTCACACTACTCTGGTGACAAGTACACTGAAAACCCTGAGTTTACCTCTATACAATTCATCCATGTGACAAAAACACTTGTATCCCCTAAATGTATTGAAATAGCATTAAAAAATTAAAAATAAAATAATATCTAAAAAAAACAAAAAGAAATACCTGTCTATGTGTCAGAAAACCCCGTCAATGCATAGGAGAAAATACCTGTCTGGAAACTATGCAGGGGCAGTTCAGTATAGAAAACAAAACAAATGATCACTTTTCTTCTGAGTCTTCATCTTAAAACTATCCCCTGGTTACAGCAGGTAACCAAGAAGAAGAACCCATTCCACTTCAGTTTGCTAGCTGTGGAGAGAAGAATAAAGGTCATCTGTCCATGTTTTTTTTTCAGTTAATTCTTCCTGCATTCATTCAGCATTAAAAAAAAAAATGCCTAGGGTAGACAGGCTCTGTCTTTGTCTTTACGTGGCTCACAACAAAGTAGAGAATAGCAGACATGGCCAATTACAGTATAATGTATTTAATAAACAAAAGTACTTGTGAGAAAAGGGGCCACGGAAGTGGAAACAATTTGCTCTGTCAGAGAATTTGAGGAGCAGGCAATATTTGTGCTCATCCTTAAATAATTAGTAGAGGTTCACCAATTCAAAGAAGGATGGAGAAAACAGAAGTCAGAGAGAACAGAACAGATAAAGCTACAGAACACTTGGCATATAAAAAATATAAAAACACTTGGCATATTTGGGAAGCATCAAACCATAACATAAAAGTTAACAAGAATGTTTAATAGATTCTTTGAATGCTTGATGTATACATCTGTCCTCATATACCTGTTTTATTTGCATGGACTCTTTTTAGCTTATTTATATTCTGTTCTGAATCATGAAAATAACGGCGAGCTGATTTTCATGTCTCATGAGTACAGAGTGAGTGGCTTCTGCAAGGATATCTTTTGCCTCTTTCTATAGATGGATCTTAGCCAATGAAATGATTTTTCATGATTTAAATGATCTGATTCTATAAACCTAAAAATTACTCACAAAATCATAATGGCCATAATTTCTATGGTGTTTAAAAATAGCTAAGTTACTTGGCAATTATATGGTAAGTGCAGCTTAATGAACATCTGAATTGTCAATACAGTATTGCAACCATCTTTATAAAAAATAGGAAAATAAGCTTCCTTGTCATTGAGCCTGCAAATTTGTATAAAGAATTGCTGTAAGTAATGGTTGTGGTTACGTTTTAGATATAATAAAACTGGATGAGAGGTTCATGTGTCAGGAGGCTGTGTTAAAATTATCTAATATATCTTATAACTCCATGACGGTTATCATTACTGAATGGAATTGCTCAACAGAAATGGCAAGATGGGTGTGTAATATTGCCTACATCTGCATCTGCTTTATCTTTCTGTAACTTTTTGCATGCAAAAGTTCTCTGGTTTACATAGCTTACTTTTTTATTTATATTTTATAACTCTCACTGATGCTGATTAGCCTCAAGAGCCAGTGTTTTTCTATATCTTCTTGGCCAAACTAAATACATAACACAACTTTAACACATATTCTTATTTTTTGATTCAACTTTATAAAAATGACTATTTATATAATATTATTTCATTAGTTAATGATTAGATTACCAAAAATGACCAATACCCATAAATATTTATTAAATATTTATGTTTATGTTTCAATGAGATGTTTATAGTGCTTATAATTGTGAGTGATTAAATCAACAAACTCTTTAGAAAAGACAACTCAATTCTGTGGTGCCTCCATACAAGGTCTTAATTTTATGAAAACAGACCCTAAATGCTGCTTGCCTTCTTGCCAACTGCGAAGGTATTACCCGTTGCCTTCTCTGCAGAGCTACCAGAGAAAAAATAAAGTACCTACATTGAGAACTTTCTGAATTCAGCTCTGTCTGTATATATACACTCAAAATGAAACAAATTGGGGCAATTTACTGAAGGTTATATCCTCTAAATGACATTCACCTAAAACATGCAAGGAAATGGTTTGGGAGGTTTAAATTATCAATTTAATTGCCTTAATTCTCTGGATTGATTTTATAAGTAGACACAACTCTTTACATCTAACTGAAGATTCCAAATTGGGAGCTTAGGCATGTTTTATTTTTACTCTTAACACCCTGAATCACGTATGCTTTCTACATTACTCAAGTCTTAAAAATAGCATACAGACCTCAAAGTGTGAGAGTCCACAAGTTAGATTTTTTTACACGTATGATCTGCCTGGAGCTTTCTTTGCAAGAGCCAGCACCTTTCATTTTGTCAGCATTTTTACTCTGAAGCCACAGGGAAGCTTTTTGAAGAACTGAATATGTGGACATTGCCTTGTGCTTTTGTTCTTAAATGTTTGAACATAGAGTGTTGTTTCAGAATATTTTATTAGTAAAACATACCTGGTTTCTATTAAAAATTATTTTCTCTGAGCTATGAGAAAGAAGTGAAAGGAGAGATTATTTATGAGCAAGGTAGCCCACTCAACCCTGTCTAATTCTTGAGTAAGAGTTTTCCAAGTAACCTTCAGGTTGTGATTCAGTAGTTCCTCTGAGTTAAGAGGGTGTTACTAAGATAACATATTCTTAAAGATACGATCTGAAATACCGAGTTAAAAAATAATTTTAGCAAATTTTAAAAGTTTAAGATTTCAGAACCTTGTGCTGACACTGAATGGTGGTGGTGGGGTTTCCCCTCCTCTTACCAAACTGTATTGCAAATAAACCTTTTGATGTTTTAAAGGTTTTTCTTTGGCAGCTAAGAAAAACACTCTGGAAAGTTATATTTAGTGAATTTACCCGTGTATAAATATCTCCGAGCTAGTCTGTTATCCTATGGCATCTGGAAGAAAGGTGCTATTGTTTTAGATTCCGTGATTGAAGTATAGAATAATCAATTCAGAGAAACCCTGGGGGAAAGATTCACTCACATATGTTGTGGAAACTTGTAATCCCTGAGTTTTTTTTAGTTTTTCCTATAGACCAAGAGACATAGATTGAGTTCATTGCTTTGGTACACATAGTGACATCAGTTCCCATTCCTGCCATAATTATAGTCTGACCACCAGTTTTTAATTGACACTATTAACTTTAAGTTTTCTAGGAAAGTTGATTGTTTTGTTAATGCTTTTGTTACTCTCTGGGTCACAATAGCTGGGTAGCTATTTTGTTGGCAAGTGCCCTGGCTGTGCACTTTCTGCTGTGACATGCCACGCTCATCACCGAGGCATTCCCAGGAATGCATTATCAGATTTAGTTCTGACAAATATGCTCCATAAATTATTTAAAGCTTCTCTTCATTTCTTGCAAAGTAATGTTTGCTGAGCGTCTCCATGAAAAATCAGTGTAATTCCAAAAGATCATGATAGATTTGCAAGATAGGAATTTGTCCTGTGCTTACAAACAGACATCTGCATAGTGAGAATCAACTGGATAGTAAATGAAACTGTATAGTTAATTGAGCTTTGGTTTTATTTGAACCTTTTCTTGACTACTTTATTCAATGGCCATTGAATAAGAGCAGCTGTGTCTCATGGCTTTCCATTGTGAAGTGTTCAAATGCGTAAGGTGGTTATATGTAAAAAATACTGCCAAAGTATGGATAATAGACTGCCCACTTTCTGTCTATTGCAACTTCCCTAAGGTTTTGTTTGCAGGGCCCAGCTGCGTATACAGACATGATGGAATTTGGTTTGTAAGAAACCTACAAAAATGACACAAATAACTCAGATTTTTAATGAATAATACGCAGACATGCACCTGCTTCAGGAACTTCATAGATTAATCTTGTGACCAATGGAAAAGCCCCTTGGAATTCAATTACATGGACGCAAAACAGAAAATAAAACTGGCTACACTTAGCTAATATCAGCAAAATGTTAACTAGTTCTTGGAGCAAGGTTTTCCTGGGGATTAGGTTGTTTCAATTTGCTTTGCTTCTGTGAGACTTACTACAAAGTCATAATATTCTGCTTACATTATTATCTACTATTCTTGCAGCTGGAGCCGCTTGCAGAAGATATTCTCCACCAAACCCCGAATATGAATGCTGTTATTTCTTTACAGAAGATCATTGAAATTCAAAGTATGTCTTTAAAGTTTTTTAAAAAAATTTCTAATCAGGTAAAACTAATTAAAATTATATTGAGAACTAGAGTACAAGGAAACATTTATTTACAGTTGTTATAATTTGCACATATGTTCTTTTTTCTTTCTTTAAGGTTTTATTTTTTTTTTACTTTCATCCAAACACACCCTTTTCCTTAAGCGTCTTTGCTCTTAATGTGACAATCTTGTCTTATACTGATGACATAACACAGAGACTCTAGATTTAGAATCCTGCTTTTCTTATATTTCTCAAGTACTTGTATATTTTCCATTATTACCACTAAATATTTGCCCTGAACAATGAAATAAATACAGAAATTGTGATTATATAGTCCACCTTAACTAAATCCAGCATTATCTCCTAATAATGTTAGAATTTAGCAACGATTTCCTGCTTTTAAGTTTGTTAGGAGAGGAAAAGATTAGTGAGAAAACCTCTCTATGAGAAAACCCAACTTAACAAAGCAGGGTAAATGAGAGATGATTTTTACTATCCAATTCCCTTCACACACACACACACACACACACACACACACACACACACACACACGGGGTAGGGGCAGTCAAGCACAAATTAACATGAAGGGTAACATAGAGTAAAACCAAATGGCAAAATCAAGTGTGAAGGAGAATCAGGAAAATTCTGAGCTTCAGCTCCTGTCCTATAGAAGCGTTTTTTAAAACGCTACTGAAGAAATCACCTTCTAGCCATCTCTTTGGGTTACTCTCTTTGCTTGCTTGGTAGCAATTTGGAAATATTGGTTTGGAGTTATATTACCCATTCATCTGATGCTGTGAATATTTATGAATCATGATATACAGGAACTCAAAATAATCCCCCACTTTACTTAATCTCACTCTTGCTTGGATTGAGGGCCATATGTACCCAATAAACGTTTATTGACTACATGTCATAACTGAAATAAACTGTGAGTTTCAAATATTTTGTAGAGAACAGAAAAATAAACATTCGAATACTGGAGCGCACTGCTCAAGTCTCTGATATAAGGCCAAGGTAAAAGAACTTACAGAGACAAAGCAGGGGAGGCTGGAGAGGATTTCACAAGCTTGAGTCCTGTCATTGTCCTGACTTTGTCCCATTTCCACTGAGGGTAAATTAAAAGGCTCTGTTACATGTCATTCTAGATCTCAAAGCAGAGAATCTTGAAGTGATCTTTGACTGCATTCTCCTATTTATCCACTTCCAATCCTACATCCCGTTTCAGTTCAACAGTATAAAAATATCTCAGTATTTGTACATATTATTGTCTTTTATTCTAAGCATTCTTTTGCCAGTATACACTGAGTGTTAAAAGTTATTCCTATGTATCTTCTGAACATATGAGTTCAATAAGGATTTTTGAGTTCTCACTTATTACATGTTAATCAATTACCAAGGCACAGAGGTTATGGCGAAGAATAAGTCCAAGTTTCTGGCATCAAGGAATGATGTCCAGCGAGTGAGAGACAACCAAGTAAATAATTCCAATACAGCATTCACAGAACACATGGTGAACCTGCATGTCACGGGGAAGGGGAAGTCCCTTTCAGCTGGGGATGAGGGGTACTAGAGAGCGAGGAAGATCCAATGAAGGCTTCCTGGCAGTGATGGAACCTAGCTTGGTCTTAGGGCTGAACAGTATTTTGCCCAATTGAAGGAGTGAAAATGCTTTTAAAGAAATAACAAAAGCAATGATCTCTGTTTTCATATAAGTATGCAAAGTTGCAGTTTGTGTAGATCTTTAGAAATTCAACTGTTCCCTTTTGAATTAGATCTAATTTCCTAGCAATGACTTTCTGCTGCACAGTTTTTTTTTCCTTTCACCACTGATATTTTCAAGTGACTTGTACAGTATGCTCTAGCCAAGCAAGCCTGTTTGACTCTTTTTTTTTTAGTTTTTTTGATGAATTCTTTTAAGAATTTTTTTCTTTTATTTCATCATATTATGGAGGTACAAATATTGTTAGGGTTACAAATATTGCCCCTCCCCCCTCCGTCCCACCCACCTCCCATATGTCCAATCCCCTGGTGGTGTTTGACTCTTGAAAAGATTCACCCTACTGTCAAAACTTACTGTATGAGAATCCTGCCACTACGGATTGTCAATCCCTCTCTTCTGCTATAGACTGCATTTCCCACCACCCAACAATGACCACTTCTCCCACTTCCTTCTAAATTCTTACTGATTACCCCACATAGCTTGTTAATCTAATAATTCCATAACTTCTCAGGACTAATTTGTGGATTTGGGACCATAGAAATGTTTAGAAAAAAATTTTCTATTATTTGAGTTTTTGTGTATTTAGAAGACTGTTAGTCCTGGTTTCTCCATTAGATGATAATCAGCAGGAACATAGGGATGATATATTTTCATCTCTCGACGACCCTCCAAAAAAGGTTAGCAGCAGGGAAGTGGTTTGAGGTGCATAGGAGCTGGGAAATTGAAAGTAGGCAGGTTTGAATAGGTAGGATTTGAGTAAGTCTTCAAGGCTGTAAGGAACCATAGCTTTCAAAAAGGGAAGCTTCTACAGAAGACCTCCTACTTCTGAGCCAAGGCTGAGTGGTGTAGTGGGCACTGTTTTATGGTCTAGCAAGCATCCACGCCCTCCTCCAATCTACTCAAAAAGTGTCTAACTTTACTCATGAATCTTTGCACCACATACCACCCAACTCAGGGGAAGATGAACTTATCCCCAGCTCCAGGGGAGCTGATTTTAGTCTAAGCCTAAGTCAGTCAACCCACTTAACACTGACTGGTTAAGAAATGGGTACATGACCCAATTCTAACCAATGAGAATCAGGGTTGGCTTCATGAATATTCAACCTGTGCAGTCACAGAGACCCCACACATAGAAGGCTCCCATGTTTAGTTTAAGCCTCAATTCTCACTAAGTTTTGAAGAAGCAGCCCACATTTTCATTTTGCACTTGGCCCTGCAAACTATGTAGCTGGTCCTGATGAAGGTCAAGGTGATCGTGATGCAAACATACATATTTAACATATATTTGCAAAGAAGGAATGATAGTACAGTCACCATAAGGATGACTTATCTTTTGGTTGAGAGAGAACCAAAGGATCAGTTGAGGTTGTTAAAGGAAAGGCAAACACAAACAAGGAACACTATCTCTCACCATTTGGAATGTGGAGTGAACATTAGTCCAGAGAAAGTGGTTGAGTACTGTGGCTTTGACTGCTGTGTGGTGCATTTCTTTGTGGTTCACTGTGTGTGTCTTTGGGGCTACTCTTGTAGACTACACGCACAGAAAAGAGCAGTGTAATGTTCATAGAGCAATAAAATTGAGTGGGTATTTCAGAGTCTCAAACTTCATAATGACTTGGGAAATTTAAATTGTGGGTTCCTGGCTTAGCAAGCAATGCTTGACTTTCTCACATGGAACTCCCTGTCTTAGGTCGCACTTTTCCATTTGATGTGCTCCTGTAGGACTCCGGGCCCTTGACTGGGCTCCCCATTTCCCTCTTGGTGGTTCAAGTACTCAGGGCAGGCCACAAAATTTGTGAGGGCCTGTTCAAAATGAAAATGTGTGAACCTTTCCTTGTTAAAAAGTTAATAATTTCAAGAAGGTGACAGCAGAGCACTGACCCAGGCATGGGCCCTTCTGAGCTTGGAGCCCTTGCAACTGCACGGGTTGTCTGTTATGAAGCCAGCCCTGAAGGTAGTCTTTGTTTAACAGGAGCACTTCCTCTTCCCATATGTCTCTGAGTGTCACACAGGTGCCTCCTTTCAACTTTGGGAAGTGTTCGGATTTCAGCCCACTTCCTATCCCTGGTTCTGGAGAATTTTTCTATGTAGATGTTAAGAAGCAGGCCGTGTAGCATGTGGGAAACATTCAGGCAAGTTTCTAGACAGCTTTGTCCCAAGGCACATGGCAAGGTGCTGACAGGCCTTCTGTGGAATTCTTTTTGAGAACTGAGCCTCCAGCTGAGGGTATGCAGGTGCTAGAGGCTGTGATTAGCATTGGCCCCTTGCCTGGCCACATGTATGTGAGGATTGTGCAGCAGGATCATCCCTGTTGTCCTGTCCTTGTTTATGTTGTTCTTTTAACTGAGGAGAAGGGGCCCTACGAGGCCACAACAGGGCAGCCATTTCTCCTGACAGGCAAAAGCCCTTCCTGACAGCAGAGGGTCTGGTTCCATCTCGAGGTGGTAGATAATGTACAAGACTTGACCATTTTTGAAATGACAAAGGGGATTATGTTTAAATAAAAAAGCTTCATGTTATTCATCAAAAAATTAAAAATATGCTTCGGCCACACCACTTGCCCACATTTATACAAAAGAACTGAAACCTGAATCTTGAAAAGATACTAGCCCTCCCATGTTTATTACAGCACTATTCGTAATAGCCAAGAGATGGGAGCGACCTGAATGTCCATTAATGGATGAATGGAAAGAATATGTGGGATTTAGGTTATTAAGTATGAAATGTCCGATTTCCTTAAGTACTACATTTTGACAGTTGATATTTCTGACATTTCACTTTGATGCTTCTTGTTCTATTTTTATTGTGAAAATACATTCTCATCCTTTCAAAGGCATGGTTTGGCTTGTGATTATCTTTCAAATTTTTTTAGAGCAATTTTTGTGAAACCATGGATAAATAAAAAATTTGTGTTATTTTCAAATATGAGTTCCATTGTGGAACCAATGCAGCACAGACAGCTTGATATATCAGCGAAGTGTTTGGAGAGGATGTGGCTAATGAATGCACAGTACATCGATGGCTTGATAAGTTCCGCTGTGGTGATTTTAATCTTGAAAATGAGCCACTTGGGCGACCTGAGACCAAGGTGGATAATGATGAAATGAAAGCTGTAATGGAAGTGAATCCATCTCAACCTACGTGTGAATTAACAGCAATTTTTGACATCACTATTACAGCAATATTGGACCATTTGAAACAAATTGGCAAGGTAAAAATGCTGGATAGATGGGTACCGCATGAATTAAACAAGCAT